GATATGGATTTTAATCGATATAGTATCGATACAGGGGTAGAAATTAAAAGAGGGAGTCCGCAGTCTGAAATTCAAAACTAAAGCATAAATAACACATGTGCTTATTTTTAAGATTCATGCAGTTGCACGTCTGCCAAATTTTCTTTGGACATCAGCTGAAAAAATACGGTAATTCCGTGAGGCCGTGCTCTGGAACGAACTAGTTAGTATAGCAGAATTTTCAGGGAGTCACACGGACTCCTGCATATGTCAAATCAGGGAGTCCGACAGTAAATCAGGGAGCATTTGACTCCGGACTCCCGTTAATTTCGCACCCTGTCGATATGTGTATCGTAAACGGTCGTAAACGTACTGATATCAAGGTTAGCATCGCGATATATAGATACATCGATGACTCGTCCCACACCTAGTGCGCACCGACGCAAACGACGTCAAGCTACAGAGCTGCGATTACCGGCAATGATGTCATCAGACTTGCTCGCAGCCGTGCGAACGCGCACGATGCCGGACTCCGCCGCCTCCTTGACGGGTGGGTGGCGCCTCCTGGCCTCGCTCGACAGCGCGCGCAGGTCCGACTGTAGGTTGTCAACGAGCTTGCGCGCGGCCTGTCGCCGCGAGTCCGCCGCCGTGCCACTCACGCCTGCGGCCGTCGCCATGCCAACGAGCGATGCTACAGGCGGGTCGGCGGCTGCGTTGTTGTCGTCGTCACGCGGAGGAGGAGAAGGAGAAAGCGAGGACGGGTTACGCGCGCGGGCAGACGCCGATCCATGATTCGGTTTGCAAATTAATTTCAATTTCGTGGACTCTAGTGATTTTACGGTTTTCTTACCACGGTTTCCAACGTTAAGCGGCTTCTGTCTTCTTGCTGATGAGTTGTAAGTAATTAGGATTAGGGTTAGATCGGTGTTATAGGGATAGATTATAATTAAGGTTATTAATTAACCTATTATGATCTACAAACAAAGCGTATAGAGATTAGCGTGGCAACAGTATACCCTAGAACACCCAGCTACGTACAACAGCTGCCACACTCTTGCATTGTAGTAGTTTACTAGTGTTGCTGTGGGGTAGAGTACACCCTGTAACACCTGTGTGAAACTTGTAGGATGGTGTTTGCATGCTGTAATAACCATGGGTGTTGTAGGGTATATGGTTTCCACTGCTGGAGATATGGTAGCAAATTAAGAGTGCAGTATAGCCCACAACCCACACAGCCCAAAACAATGAACATTGCACTACTAGAGGTGCAGAGAATTCACAATTCTAGTTTGAGACCCCAGTATAATATATTTCGCATAATATGTGCTGAACTAATCCGGGGGGCTAAACTAGGATTGGACCGCAGAGGATTGTAGGGTGTATACTACTGCAGCTGCTAATTTGCATTAACATAATCACAATTTGGGGAATATACGACTAAAGTAATGACTAGCCTGGAATTCAAGATTCATTCAATCAAAAGTTTGTGAGAAAATCGCTCCTCATTTTATGAACTGAAGTGAAGTTCATAAAAAAATTTCATGGACTCTTGATTCAATGTTCACAGTTCAAGCTAGGGCAGTCTACAGTATAGCTCTAGTACCAAAGCCCGCGTACAGTAACTGCCGAAATGCTGCGTAATAAGGCTGATAGGGTCTATGTCCCCCAGGGTACTGCAAGAACGTACCCTGGTACTAAATACTACTAATACTATCTAATATGCCGGACCGTACCTCGCCTACTCCACTAACGAGTCTAGGGAGTCACCTACGCCTACTCCCTAACCCTAACCATATCAGCTAGATAGTTAGTATTACTATTAGTTACCAGGGTACGTTCCGGTATACCGGACCGTACCCAGGGTACGTTCCGGCAGTACCCTGGGGAACATAGACCCTATGAGCCGTAGTAAGGCCTGCGGCAGTTACTGTACGCGGGCTATAGTACTATAGCTATCTACAGTACAGTAGCGAGTAGGGCCTACTACTAACTAATTCTACGGTGGCTAGTCTCGCCCTAGACCGAATAATTCTGTCCCATATAACCTTTTTTATATTTTGGTGAGGGTTATATTGAGACAGAACGGGGTTCATTGAAATTCGTGAGATCGCATGCAAAATGCATGCGCTGCGAATGCGGCCCGTACGCCGCTATTGGCGCGAAAAACACCCTACCGTTCCCTTCTACATGACTTTACCTTGCTACAGATATGTGTATACATTCACTTCAATCGTTATTCACTTCTTAAAAGATTGTTTTTCAGAAACCCGCTTCATTCCACTTTCGTAAATAACATTCGCCATTTACAAACAATCAGACCAATCAGAACGAGTCTATCAGCCCTCCTGCAGCGCCACAGATACAAGCGAGAACCAGGCTATTGTACATAACACTCGCTCTGATTGGTCTGATTGTTTGTAAATGGTGAATGTTATTTACGAAAGTGGAATGAAGCGGGTTTCTGAAAAACAATCTTTTAAGAAGTGAATAACGATTGAAGTGAATGTATACACATATCTGTAGCAAGGTAAAGTCATGTAGAAGGGAACGGTAGGGTTTTTTTCGCGCCAATATAGCGGCGTACGGGCCGCATTCGCAGCGCATGCATTTTGCATGCGATCTCACGAAATTTCAATGAACCCCGTTCTGTCCCAATAATAATATAACCCTCACCAAACAGGGCAAAATATAAAAAAGGTTATATGGGACAGAATTATTCGGTCTAGTCTCGCCCTAGACTGGGGTTCATTACGAAACAAAAATACGCTACTACCGTATCAGTGGTTAGTCAAGTTACCCCAACAATTCTAACGTGAGTAAAAAAATAAGAATACAACATTCATCGAGCGACGAACCGAGACTGTCACTGTGCGGCTAGGGATTGGCTAAGCGAAAGACAACACTAGAAACTACGACACCGGCTACGTAATTTGAAATCGGAAACAAAAAAAGGTAGTGATCGATTTCTTACCTCGCATGCTGTTAAGGAAATGAACTGCTAGTGACAGAAACGGCTTAATTAGTTGATGTTTACCATGTTGACTTTAGATTTTTCCTGTAGTCGTGTCATACAATTCCCACGAGTGTAACTACATTGACACCAGGCGGCGTTTAGCATGTGGCGCCATCTCGTGGCTAATTGCTCAATTATTTTAATAGCGTTTTTATGACCTTTTATTCTATCTACTACAATCAATAACAAATCTTAAGTGATTCCGTAATAGCCGGGGTTACGCTTCGTTACACACTATTAAAACATAATTATTTAATAACAAACAGAAAATAATAAATAATACATTTGCTATTTACAAGTAAAATTTATTCAGCAATAGTGTTTTTTATCAAATCTCAAATCGTCCTCTACCAGTAACACAGACAGCTACATCGTATGGGTGACGAATAATGTGTAAACAGCAGACAACCATCCTACAAATACACTTGCATATACAATACGTGTCATGTTTTATTGTGAAAAGTTTACAATGGACACACATTTTCCGCAGACTCGAAAAACATGATGCTAACTACCGAAAGGTTTCCTAGACACCACACGTCATCGCGACTCACGTTCATTGCTGTTCGCTTTTGCTATAAGGGGGCGCCACTTCTGCGGCGGCGCACTGCACAGGCTCGGAGCGTTGACAGAGAGGGGTTCACGACAAATTTCAATTTCGTGATATCGAAAATTATGCAGAACAGCTAGCTAATTAAAAAGGTGATTGTGCAGTACAGGAAAAACCCTTCTTGCATGCATATTCGTGCCACTATGGCCTACGAAACGAAATAGCATTGTGGTTCTGACCGCTATACCCTGTAAATCACCGGCCGTGCAGCCATTCCGAATTTCGCAACTCTACCCTGTGAGTCACCAGCAATGTGGCCGTTCCATCTATCGTTACTACACCCTGCGAATCGTTGGGCTTGCAGCTGTTCCACTTGCCGCCACCATACCTTGCTAATCACGGATCGCGTGGCCGATCCATCTCTCGCCGCCACACCCCTTCAATACCAAAGATGCCAACACATATTTGAAGCAATCTGTAGTTTTTGGCCATCAAATTAGTAGTTCGAGGGTCACATAGTGACCCTAGTTTGCTAGGGGGGTCCGGCATGCCACCCGGAAAATTTTTTGATTCTGAGATGCAATTTCCTGCATTCTGAAAGTCAAAAATGACAATAAATTGACAACAAATGACAATAATTGACAACAAAAAATTTCGATCACAGTGAAATTCGTAGTTTGATACAAACTGGTCGTAGTGGTGCAAGAGGAATAGAAATTCGTATAAAATACGGATAAATCGTAGTAGGTGGCATCTCTGCAATACTAACAGCTGCTGCAGCAATCTGCTTAAAACTATCTTTCGGTGTAAAAAAACACCTCTCGATACGAAAGGTTTCTAACGTAACGTGGTGCGCACTGGCTGTACAGGGGAGAGAGAGAGAGAGAGGAAAAAGAGGAAGAGAGGAGATGAAGGAGAAGGGAGAGGAGGAGAAGGAGAGAGAGAATAAATATTTACACTGTTTACAAGTACCGAGTGACTGACTGTGCGACAACAGAGCGACATATTATGTCGTACACATCACCCTGTGAGATGAAGAACACACGCACGGCACAACGCGCGAATAAAAAAACCGCTACAACGGCGAATCGAAATCCCGCCCGCTGACAAGATGGCCACCACCCACGGCCGGAGAAGGCACCAGGTGGCGACACGAGGCGCGCTTCGTTGCGGGAAGGAGGACAAAACAACGATGAGGACGAATAATATAAAAAATGCGATTAAAAACGACGTTTATCTATCAGCGGCTACATGGTAGTCGCCGCGGTATCGCGCTCGCCGCCTCCGCGACCCGGCGGCGCCCCCTGGGGAGAGCGAACACTGCCGAATTCACGCTTGACCCGACGCGACGACGACAAGCGAACGTTCGCGTTCTCCGGGGAGCGGGCGTCGCCGAGCGGGCGTCGCCAAGGAGCGGGCGTCGCCGAGCGGGCGTCGCCGAGGAGCGGGCGTCGCCGAGGAGCGGGCATCGCCGGGGACGCGGGCGTCAGTTCCACGTGTTTGTTGGACGCGCGACGATTGTCGTACGTTGCCACGACGACGACGACGACGAGAACGCGATCACTTCAGGTAGACCATCTTGTGTATCTTGAGTATTCTTCCCAGTCGCTGCTTCGTTGTTGCCTGACCTTTCTTTGGCTTCTTCGCTGGAGGAAGATAACAATCGCCGGGAGGGTTAGTCGCGCCTGCGAATGTGTTAAGCTCGCTACGGGCAAACCTGTGTGTAAGGGTCAGCCAAAGTACTTCTTATAGACAGGTAGCTGTTATATAGAGGTGGTTTCACTATATACCTTCAATTCAAGGAAAAGTTAAACCCCAATGTCCTTTATAGGCAGGTGGCCTTTCTATAGAGGTTACCGCTTACGTGGGCACATGTTGCATTTTGGAATCTACTTCGACTGGATGCACAGAAATGCTAACTATGCCTTTACGATTCTAGCTTACTAATTCCCACATTTTCCTACACGCTAAAATACTAGATCTTTCTCGATAATTTATTAGGTGGCCGTGCCATCTGTGCGAGCCCTGATCTCGCATAATGTTAATCAAAAAAATTGATTTAATTTCTAATTAAGTTAGTTAACGACATATTTAATTTCTATGGCTAACTTACAGATTGGTTTTGTTGGACCTGAGGATTTCTCACTAGGTGGCGCTTCGACGGACGTTCCGGGGGTCACCAGCGGGTCGGGCGGCGGAGGCTTCGGCGCCATCTTGCGGCGCTGGTACATTCGCTTGGGCGGCTGGAAAGGGATGTTCGTATGTTTCATCGCACACATGATGCCAGCTTGTAACACAGGCATAGGAATGCTTTTATTTAATTATCATATAAATAATAGACCTCATATGTTTATACAGGCTTACAGGTAAATAAATGCACACAGGTGAATACAGGCCTACAGGTAAATACAAGTTAACAGGTTTGTACACATGATTACAGGTGAGTACACATGATTACAGGTGAGTACATGTGATTACAGATGAGTACACGTGATTACAGGTGAGTACACGTGATTACAGGTGTGTACACATGATTACAGGTGAGTACACGTGATTACAGGTGAGTACACATGATTACAGGTGAGTACACGTGATTACAGGTGAGTACACGTGATTACAGGTGAGTACACGTGATTACAGGTGTGTACACATGATTACAGGTGAGTACACGTGATTACAGGTGAGTACACATGATTACAGGTGAGTACACGTGATTACAGGTGAGTACACATTATTACAGGTGAGTACATGTGATTACAGGCGAGTACACGTGATTACAGGGGAGTACACATGATTACAGGTGAGTACACATGATTACAGGTGAGTACACATGATTACAGGTGAGTACACGTGATTACAGGTGAGTACACGTGATTACAGGTAAGTGCATGATTACAGGTGAGTACACATGATTACAGGTGTGTACAAGTGATTACAGGTGAGTACACATGATTACATGTGAGTATACATGATTACAGGTGAGTACACGTGATTACAGGTAAGTGCATGATTACAGGTGAGTACACATGATTACAGGTGTGTACACATGATTACAGGTGAGTACACATGATTACAGGTGAGTACACATGATTACAGGTGTGTACACATGATTACAGGTGTGTACACGTGATTACAGGTAAGTACACATGATTACAGGTGAGTAGACACGATTACAGGTAGACGAGCTGCTTACAGGTAAGTGTGAGAGTTTCTCGGCTGCATCTGCGAGAGCGCTCTCCACGGCAGGTATGCGCACGCCCTCTCGGTGCGGCCGTACCTTAGGAACAAGGTTGCCTCCCATCTTCACTGAAATGCCAACGACACACGCAAAGCAAACGATTAGTCACGAAGAAAACATCGTAAATGCCCGACCGCTTCTTCCCTCAAAACAAATGATTAGCAACGACAAACAACGCTCCATGTCCTACCCCTCCCCTCCCTGCCTCGCCCCACCGCACCATCCGCCCCAACCCTTGCCCTCCCCCTTTGGGGTTCCACGTGTCGTCTGTTGTTCCTGCCCTCCCCACCCCACCCCGGGCATGCCCCTGTCGTGCCCCGCCCTGCCCCGCTACCTTTGGGGTTCCACGTGTCGTCTCTGCTGTTCCTGCCCTCCCGCGCCGCGCCACACCACCCGCCCCACCCCTCCCTGCCCTGCCCCGCCCCCGCCCCGCTACCTTTGGGGTTCCACGTGTCGTCTCTGCTATTCCTGCCTTCCCC